TAGAAGAATTAAGATGTGTGGCTAAATTCTGGCCTCACACTTGCAATAATGCCACCAACTGCTTCTAATGTCAGCCAAGGTAAAAACAGTAGCACAGTCAGCAGCTGAGCTGAACTCTGCCCCTTTCCTGCTGAAAGTGAACATCCAGGTTTCTTCCCCTGGAACCTCATCTCCCAGCAATGGAGAGCCAACCAGCTGAGCCTGCCTCAATACTGATGCTTCCTCCGACTGGCACTCACCATGGGCTGCTGTCTATCACAGGCAGCTCACCCCAGCCAAACATGTGCAGCCCTGTGCCCTTCTTTTCTTGGGCAACCCAGCTGTGCAAAGCACTCTCCACAGCTACCACTTTAGACAGCACGGACCTGAAGAGTGGTTTCTGCTCCCCCACTCCAACAAAGAACCCAGCTACTACCACTGTGGTAACAGTCATGCGCAGCAGTCATTAATCTGGATAAAGTGATTCTTCACATAAATTGCCTTCTTTCTCCCTAAAGTTTCAGGTCCAAGAAGAAAATACATCACTGAAACAAATGTCTGCTAGGACAAATGAGAAGACTGAAATACAACAGAGAGCGAGCAGGACTAAGGCAAGGACGCTCACAAGGAAACTGAGATCTGAGCCGCTTATGAAAGATATCCTGAGGCAATCCCAAGCACAGTTATTAGCCTGCCACTTTGCATATCCTCTGCGTGGTTTCAAAGCGCAGCAGCACCCTGCTCTGCTTTCCATTTATACGCTGAGAACAACTTTGCCTCTGCACTCCCAGAAACTAACTTCATTTCGTGAAGATGTGCTTCAATTATGTAGGTTATTTTTAAGTCACTCATCTGTTTGAGTTTGGGCATGAAACACCTGTCTGTTCAGAAGCCCCAAAGCTTCTGCACTCATCTAGGAGTGTAGGTGCACCCTTTCTCTTTCATGGGAATATGAATGCTTGTTTGTGATCAAGAGCGATATTTAAATTCAAATTCAGCCTCAAATTACAAAGTACATCCAGGAACTGTAGCTCTTGACTTGCTTTGCTTATCACATAAAACACCGGAAGTTTCCTGGCCCTGGCTGAGCAGGCCAGGCTTCCAGACCTCAGCTCTCCCAAAACTGTATGCAAGTACTTAGGGCCCAAACATCTCCATACAAAGGGCATGTGCTCCAAGGCTTTCACTGGCTTCTCTACTGCTCGCCATGGGGTTTGTCAGTCAGCCACAGGCAGAGCGTTGCTGTCATATTGGCACAGTTACCGCTGAGGGCACACATGGCTGCAGGCATGCAGCTCAGCTGTGGCAATGTGACACCAACAGCTATGGAAAGAGGAAGGGATGGCAGGAAGATAGTGGTGCAGGGAGAATAGAAGGACACAGGACTGGTCTAAAGAGTGGGGTGAGCAAACAGCAGGGTTGGGAGTACGAGAAGAACCAGCCGTGGGGGTAGTGGGGAGGATGAAGAAAGCAAGGAGAGAGGGAAGTAGGAGCACGAGGCTGACCTATAAACTTCAAGGACCGCTGGTCTGAAGCAGAGCCCTGGGCCTGGGCATCATAAGACTGGAATTTTATTCTTGGTTCTGCTGTAGACATGCTGAGTTACCTTGGCTGGGACTTGTCAATTTTTTGTGCCTCATCTCCTGTTTCTACCGTGTTGCCTCTTTTTAAAATGTTCTGAGGACAAAAGATGAAAAGCAGAATTTAAGTAGAAATAGTTTTTCATAATTATGTACTCAGAATTAAGGCATCAGAGGAGAGCAGCAACTAGATTATGTAAGAGACACCATGCTTCCTGGTCTGCAGAAGAACACCGTGCTCTTACAGGGATTCCTTTCCTTTAGTACTTTAAAGCAAAGTATTATTATGGAAAATGATTAAGCACCCACACAGTTAAAATGACAGAGCATCTTCATTACTGACTGGCAACTCCTCTGCTGCCCTAATTTAAGTACCACATGTCTTCATGCGTTCAAATCAGTACAAACAAAACAAAAGCTAAACTCATTTGTCATTTGAAGCAAAAGAAAAAAAAAAATCATTTCAGAACATTCAGATTTCAGAATTGGGAGATTTCAGAAAAATCTCCCAATTCTTGATTCTACTTTCAAATAATAATAATAATAATAATAATAATAATAATAATAATAATAGAGTAAAAACAGTCTTTCAGCAAAGTGTTCATATACACTTAAATTATGATGATCAGGGAACTGTCATCATACAGATTGTGCTGTGTATGAGTAACAAGTTGGTCTATAGACAAAGCAGTCTGGAAATAGAGGAGAAAGATGAAAATTGAGAGGCTCACAAACACAGGAATTGGACTTAGGTGTTTCCAACCTGCAAAGGCTTGCCTGAAAATGAATCAAAATCCAACAAGTCGCAAACCAAAAATGCCTAAAGTTTCAAAAAAATAGATGTTCATCTCCATGGCCAGCTTTCATTCAGGAATTACTTTGTTGCTCTTGATGCTAACTAAACTGAATAACATCTTCCCCATAACTCTGCAAATACATGTTTCCCCCTCTCCCATAACACAGCACAAGGTCCATCCAGGTCACAGTTCCAATACTCAAAGACCATCTTCACTGCCGAGTACTCTGTCGCATATTTTCTTTCAATGTTCCACAGAGGCAGAAATGAATAAAAATTGCCTCTGCATTAAAATTGGGCAAATGCAGAAATGAGTGAAAGACGAATCTGTGAACAAAGTTAGCAAACAGCTGAAAACATCCTTTGGTTCACTGAATAGCTGACTAGCAGGGTTACAAAACAACAGCAGCTTCACCTACCCAGTTTCTTCCATCAAATTCTAAGGTGCAAATGGAAAACACCTCCCTTTATTGTTATATTTTAGGGCCACTTCCATGCTAACTAACCATTTCATTTTAGGACTATTAAATCGTTCTTTCTAACACAGAGCAAGATGTCAGCATTTATCAGGAATTAAGAAAAACACAAAAGCTATTATAAAAAGAACAAAGCATGTACTTCCATGGTTATTTTTGGAAATAAATTAAGAGTTTGATATGTCTAAAGTTCCAATCTCCAGTTATTTTTTGAATCAGCTGCAGTCTTCTATCAGTCTGGCATAAAGCCCATTCTCTACTGTACATATTTTTAAATCATACCAGATGATTATCTACCATTTCTAGCCTTTGGGAAGCAAGTCATACATTTTCTTCGTAAGTATTTTTCTTCCCTTTTCAGCTGCTCTCAACTATAAGCTGATAGTAAACAACAAAAGCATGACTAAAAACTGGTGAAGAAATTTAGAGCCTTTTAGAAGACATTATCTAGTTAAGAGAAAATGCATGAGGCTTGCCATATGAAGAGGGCTTTTTATTGAAATCATAACCACAATGTAATGAGAAAGATCTGCCATCATCTTGACGATGAAACTGACTTGAAGTCTCGCAAAAGTCGGGTAAAAGTTTGACCCAGAATTTGTGGGATTTAGTGGAAAAGTAGAAAAGATTAGCTTATGTGCTGTCTCACAGGTCTGAATTAAAGATTTCCAAGACTGGAAGGTGAGAACACATGATGCTGTTTCAACTGAAGAGAACTGGAAATTTCAAGATGCCTTATGTGCAAGAACAAAAGCTCACAGCAAGTCTAAAATTCATGTTCTTAACAAACAATGAGAGAGGGAGAGCTATAACATCCAGAAAGCAGAACAGCTTGTGTTTGTACCTCAGCTTACTTGCATCATACCAGTATGAATGCTGTACAGGGCCTTCATTTTGAACTCCTGCCCTCCCTTCACCTGCTTTACCCGACTATGCTAGGCTTTTTCTACTGCCACTCATTTAAATGTTTGTCCACAGTCTCCTTTCTTCTGTACATCCAAACTTACCTCCTTCCTCCGTTTTCCATCCCCAACTTAAAGTCTTATGTCTCCAAAATGTCAGATAAAACAAAACCAAAGCACATTCCAAGCAGAAAAGCATAAAGTCAATCAAGGGACTACACAAAGTCAAGTAACTTAGTGACTGCTAAGTGGCCTAAACAAATCCTCCAAGAAAAAGAAACTTCTGAACCTAGCATCTTCCTACTTGCAGCATTTTTTAAAATGGCACAGAAGTGTCTTGCACAGGTTCACATGGAGGTTGGTTGTGTAGCAACTGCAGATGTCCTATGGCTTCAAACAAGAGAAATATGTACAGCAGCTTCCTTAGCCTCCTCTGCCCAAAAGCCTAAGATCTCTCTGGTCTGAGGGCAAAGAGTTCAAAACTTCATCCATCTCCTCACACACACACCTCACTGGCATGAGAAGGGAAGAGAGAATGGCTAAACAGACACTTCTTGCCTTCTTCCAGTGTTACACACTGGGAAAATATTACAAACCTTGTTAACTTATTTGCATCTGAACGTATCTTTCTTAAGAAAAAAGCTTGTTTAGCACTAAAGACCTGCATAAACACATCCTCTTTGCACTGCAGAAACATTAGCATAGCATGCTGGCTCTGCATTTTGCTTTGCAAAGACTGACCTTCTCCGGGACACCGATCAGCAATATCTCCTGAGCAGCAGCAACAAAGAGCATTTCTTTGCTTGACTGAAAGCCTTCCACTGTGTGCTCCCTTCCTTAGGGCAGAAAGACTCTGCTGATACTGTACAATGTTTTATTCTGCAAACAAAGCATGCTGACATACAAAACACAGCATTCGTTTCTGAATGAATAACTTTTTCTCTTTCCACATTCAACCACATACAGTCTACAATGAGCTGTCATTCATTCCTTCTACTACAGCAGCATCTTGAGATCCTGACTAACTGCAAAGGATGTACGTAGTACATCAAGTTCTCAAGACAAGATATTACTTTCCAGTGTTCTCAATATATATAGGCAAGAGAAAGAACCAGAGAAAATGCAGTTCCCCTCCTTTGAAAAGATTAACAACACAGGCAACATGAAACTCAAGAACAGGACCAGGAACAAATAAACAGACACTTTCTTCTTTAAAATGTCAAAACATTCTTCACATTTCCAAAGGCAAGCATGAAAGAATGACCAGTTCAAATAACCACGTCCCATTTATTTGTTACATTAGTTAGATTCCTCTGAAAGGGACTGCACCAACAGCTTACTCAACCAAAACACACCTAATACAGCAAAACCCAGGGCCTGTGGGTCACATACTAGCTATCATTGACCAATGAACAAAATTATTCTCAGCATACTTCCCACTGAAACAAGATAATGTTTATTCAGTGCACAGATCTGAGGAAAATGAAAGAAGGAACTCCAGATGAAACTGTCTAAAAAGCATGAGCAACTGTTCAGTGCATGTATCAGAGAGGTTGTTTTAGGCAGAAAATAGTACTGAGGAGTCAATAAATAGCAGCCTGGCAGAGAAGTAAAAAGTGTCTGAAGTAGCAGTCTAGAATAGGGTATTACTGTGAAGAACCACAACCGACAGAGATGAGAAAATGGAAGATTAAATCTTGCATACAATGGAAGATTCAATTTCGCACTTTTTGCAGTTGGTCCCATTCTGTTATTCTAACAGTTTCCTTCAGTATCTGCAATGCAGTTATAACCAGCTTCTTACTACAGATTTCTTCTCCACTGAACAGAAAGACAAAACGTCTGAAAATGAGGCCATGAACTGTAACCACTGAAACAGCAAGGAGAAAAAACCCCAAAGCCCATATACCTCCCTCCCCCTTGTGAGTTAGCTGACAGGTCAATACAGTTTTGCCATCCTATTTTCTAACAGCCCTTCTCTTAGTATTTTGCAATTCTATAAAGCCTCCTCCCTGGCAAACCCTCATTTAAAAATTAAACCACTGTTTAGTAACAGTAGTTCTCATTAAAAGGTGTGTTTACCACACAGTAGTACTCCCTATATTTAGAACTTGACATACATCACAGCAAATTTAACTATCGTGGGTGGTAAACATCTAGTTTAATGGCATCCACTGCGTTTGTGTGGAAGAGTTTTATAAATAGCTTCCAAAATTCTGCTCACCATAGGCAGTTAATAGTATCTGAAGACAACTTACACTTTTCTCCCACCACAATCAGTATAAGGCATATGTTTCTCTACCCAGCACTCACCTGGGGCTAGTATTGTGGGCACACTCTGATCAGAACCTCAGATGGACTGCCAAGCTGATGTGAAAGCTGACGCTACCAGGAGCATTCTGGTCTGCCTCTTAAGCTAGAGAACTTGTAAAAAGTTTCTGTTTATATCTGGAAGCCTTCCTATTCGGCTGCAGCTACAAATACATCAGCTATGTTGGATCAAACTGTCCTCAGCAGCTACAACTGACTTACGCTCTTTGACAAGACCTCTTCTGTTGTTTCCAAGGGCTCTCAGAAGATTCTCTTTCCTATCAGTAGCTTCAAGAACTTTAGGTTTAATTTTCAAGTTAATAATAATTTGTGTGGATCTGCAGCCCTGTGAATATCTATTGAATGGATGTCTGGCACAGAAGATAATTCCTCAGAAACGCTGTTCCTCTCAGTTTAATCAACACGTAGCTTATTTCAGAAGAGCCTCATTTTCTCCTTTTGCCAGTCTTCTAAATCGTATCTATTTTCTCAAAATTCTGATCTTCTGCTTAAAATGTGCATATGCCTCTATTTATGTTCACTGGCATTTCTCTTTTCAACTGGATTTCTTAAGATGCTGGGAGCTCAAAACTTCAATAAAAGCTGGCAGGTGCAACACATGCTCATCGTGACATGCAGATACATTAATAAAAGACCAGAGCTGGCCCCATGTTTCCACCTTCTCACATTGTTTCCTCAATCTTTTTTTTTCACATTAGACTGAATTTTTACACTAACGATAAGTGATTAGACAGGCAGTTTCCTCCTCAAAGACTTCTTAGAAAGACAAGAAAGAGTCATTCTTTCTTCAATATTGCATCGAGGCAAAACGTCATTCTACCTGTGGGTAAGAAAGTCAATTCCTGTACAAAGAACCCATGACATAATTTTTTAAAATAACTGTTTGATTTTTATTTTTCCCATACTGTTCTAAGCACGCTCATTTCTTATAGTTTGGGAACAAACTTCCACACTTTCCAGCTGCCATGTTAATCTCAGGCAATCTTCTTGAAGAACTTCTGAGCTACGCAACCCAACGACGTCCATCCACATCCATGTTGCTAAGATTTCTCGTGTCCTGAGTCTAACGTGGAGTTTTGACAAAGAGCCAAGGAGTGTCCTGCCCCACATCCAATTAAGATCTGTTCTGCATAACCAAGAGCTTTCACTGGCTTTGGTACATGAATGTTTGCTTCTGTGCCGTCACCACACATCCCATGTTCGTTCCATCCCCAAGAGAAGCAACAGCCACCTAGAAGAGAAGATACAAAACACTGAATTAAGACAAAAACTACAACAGTTTACTAGTTTAAGGAGAAGGATTAGCCATGTTGTCTTCTGACTAGATTTTAATAAATTCTGCGTAGGTGAGAAAAAAATGTTCTCGTTCTCCTGAAAATTTCAATAAAACAACATGTTATTCTTTATCACTTCATATTATAATAGCATAAGAGATGAAAAGAATAAAGACTTTTGAAAATCACTTAGTAAATACACTGCTCAATATTTATCCCGTGCCCACAGGAATCACTCAATATTTTAATAACCCTTCCTGAAATGGGATTCCTATCTTTCAAGTTCACTTTTGTAAGCAAAATTTGGTAGCACAAACTGAACTTAGTGACTTCAATTCACACAGCACAGCCTGTAAGACTGAGGGACAAGGGCCATGAGGCAGAAAAACAATAGTTCATTGCTGCTTTCAAGTGAGTAGGAATGAAATCTCACCTTTTCCTGTACACGGACAACATGCCTTACTTGCGAGCAGCACACCTCTTCCGTTTGCTTTGGTACTACTATACTGCTGTTATTATTATTCTTATTTTCCTTCATTATCTTTTTTTTATCTCCTCTTTTATATCCCAAATCATGGTCCATGCATTAACATTATCCTACAGTACTCTTTCTTAAAGCACAACATGTAAATTCTGTCCCATAAATAGCTAGCATAAGAAAAAAACCAAACCAACCCCTGTCTTCTTTTATTAACAAGGGATATTTCTTCCCAACTTCCTTTTCCTTATTCAGCCATCACAGAACTGTCTGTGAATTTCTGTAAAGAAAAAGGAGTCCATGCTGTAAGAGAGTGATGTTTCTGATGCCAGTGTAATTTCTGATATGCAGCAGGTATGACAGCATGAAGTGCCACTCTGGAGTACAAATAATCAGAAAAAAAGCCAGAATTCACCAAATTTAATCTCAGTCACAATTCTAAAATCATTTTACTTTCCAAAATTGGCAAATCAATTGCTCCATAGGTATACTCTCCTCCAAACTCCACTCTCATCCTGTGTCTCTACATATTACTCTATCAAAAGTTCTCTTCTGTAACTATTTGTAAATGTTACTGAAATCAGATAAAGAGCTTTTATTTTCTTGATGCTCTTTGAAGAAATAGACTACTGCAAAACACTGCTAGAATGCCACAGTGAGCTAAATACAGCTCACCTCATCCAGAAATGGCAGTTCTCATCCTAGAAGGCTCCAAATTCTCTCAATAGCATGCATGTGCAATATCAACGGCTGAACATACAGCACAAATGCACATGCTGTAGAAATATACTAAGAAGCATGCAACAGATCACATGTAAAGACCACTGAATAGAACATCTAAGAGGTTAACACTTTTATTTTTATTAAGGCACCAGGTAAAAATATTTACGTAGATATTAACAAGCAGCAAAAGGTCATCATTAACAAAGAGACTAAAACTGATCACATAAAAATTATTCAGGGAAATTGTCAAGCTCAAAACCATCTGCATGTAAGGAAAAGCATTCTTTTGCACAGTTGCTAAAACATGGATCCTGCAGAATAAGCCTAATGAGAGTGGGAAGACTTCCAAATTTAATGAAAAGGGAACGTAACATGCTCTTACATTAACAAGATGACTATAGCAAGCCTTTTGTGATGAGGCCACTAGCAATTAGTACAATGACTACAATGCAGCGTGCTGATTTGCTGGTATGGGGACTCACTGCATCTGAATGGTTGTGGGGTTTTTTTTCATCTTATTCCAGCAGGACAAAAGAAAGGAAATCAAAAATTTTGTTCACTTTCAATTACAAACTGCTCAACAAGGTATTTATGATACAATAAATATATTAAGACACAGATAGTAGTCTCTTGAATTGAGAAACAGACCTAAACATCTTTTTAAAAAATTTACAAGCTAAAAAAACCACAGACAAGAATATCTGCCAGAGTCAGAAACACTGAATCTTCTACACTACTCTCCAAGCATTCTCCCAGCATGCAAAAAGGGCAACAAATGCATCCCTGCATCCAGCTCCAGCAAGCTTCATGTTAACTGAGACAGGCTGAGAGGGAAAGCTGGCAATAGGGCATACATGCAGAGTAACTAGGATTTATGAAAGGCCACGCACAGATATATGGGGAGCCAGGCAGGAACCTGAAGGGCCGAGGGGGGAGCTGACAGATACAGAATAACAAGGCACAAAGAGGGCTCTCATCAACATTGAGTCACATTTCCCAAAAAGCTAAAAGGCAGAGAGTCTTTTTGGCACAAAAAGGAAGGTGTGCGATACCTTAGATACCTACATCTGCCTGGGGAAAATGTTCTGAAAGGTTTGGGCACAATGAGGCCAGCTGCTAGATTTCTGTCAGAGAATGTGCAGAGAGCACACTGAGGGCATTTTTTGCCCTCTCATTAAAGAACCATGCAGGAGAGCCAACAACATGGCCATGGGGCACTGGCTGAGAGGGAATGTGCAGACTTGGAATTCACTGGCACAGAAGCTGAATCCAGTGAAGACCAAAAATAATGAAGCGCTTACTGAAAAAAAACTACATAGAAGGAATAGATGCAGAGCTCAATGCCTTCATTAAAGGGAACTAAGGGTTATCCTCTGGCCAAAGGAAGCCAGTTTCATTTTAATTCCTTTTTCTTCCCATACACACACATTTTGTTTTATTTTATTTTAGTTTGATGGGGGGAACTATGAGAGGGCTGGGGATGGCAAATGTTTCCTGCTCAGAATAGAAGAATTCGTTTGGAAGGGACCTACTTTCACCACGTCCAACTGCTTGACCAGCCTCAGGGCTAACCTAAATGCAGTTCAAGCATTTTCAATTCTTTCTGTTCAGTTTATTACTGATAAAAACCTACAAGTCTGTCAGCTTAGGTCATGATGGCAAGAAGAGGTTGCAGCAATGACTACCAGGCTTTTCTCAGTGTAACTTCAGTGACAGCTGCAATCCACAGCTTGATTCAGCTGGAGGGATGCACTCTTAGTTAAAAACAAGCTGCAGTATCTTGGATGGGATTCTGGGGCAGCGGAGGTTTAATTCGCTCCTTATCACCAAGTACTCCGTTCTTCAGATGAGAAGACTGAATGCTAGGAAGTAAGCAGCTTTGGATGAGATTTCAGTGCATTTCAACCACCTACAAGACAAGTGATTTAGCTATAGGTACCCTCAAGTCTTCTTTAATAGTCAGTGGAGGCAATTCATCTTACCTAAACACCGATGTCAAAAGCAAATTTATCTCACTCTGGTGATTACAGAAGGAGACCAATTGTCTTAGCCCAGGCAGATCATTTTAAACAGCTGAAGATAGGTTATGACAAATCACATCTTGCAATGAGTCTGAAGGTAAAGTAAAATCCCTTGGAAACAAGGAATCTACAAACACTGCTGCTGCCTAGTTTCAGGCTGCAACCTGTCTGCTTCTAACCCACTGTGCCCTGGAGACCAACCAGTGAGATCTTTAAAAGCCTCTTTCTTTTCTTTCTCTTTGCACCCGCTCCCACTCTTCCAGCCACACATACACAGAAGGAAGCTGGCTTTAAAGACAGCTCGAGTATCTTGAACTAAGGTATTCAGCAGACAAATCTGCATATTAAGGATACATCAAAGTATTTTAGCATCGCTCTATAATTAAGCTCTGCGCTCTTAGCAGTACTCCAACATTTCAAAAAATATTCTCTTAACTTTCAATCAGTGCTACTCTACAGATGGTCACAGATAAAGTTATAGCTGGCAAGAGACTGGCAATTTGCTAGGAGCAAATCTGAGAACTTCAAACAGAACCAGGGCAGAACCAAGAACAAAATGCATTGTATCAGCCACCCCTTTTGACTACTAGAAAACACTTTAAACCTCACAAAGCACAATGTAATATACAAAGGATTTAGACTGTATCTCCCCTAAGAAGTGGTAAAATACAAAGAAATAAAGTCTTCCTATGTTTTCATGATACCTAGTATCCAAGATTATCATGCAAAATACAAGTATAGAAATATCTCTACCACTACTGCATTTTCATTAGCAAGAGTTATTCTGTCATTAGAGGAAAACATTTGCAATTTTAAAACATAAGAAACAGTTACTATCAACTCTTTTCCGCAGAAAGACATGGAAACATAGAAGTAACTACAAGAACACTCCAAACATTCTGCAAAGTCTTGTAACAGGCTAAGTTTAGTAAGTGGAATATAAGACAATGTGACTCCAAGGCATTTTATGTCACCTCCCAAAGTAGGAAGGAGCCCCGTGCAATGCAGCACCCGCTTCCTTGCAGAGCTGCACTCACACCCACCTCTCAAGAAGTGAGTTGGCATGGCCTCCAGGCAGCCTCACCAACTGCCGTTGAAGTTTCTCAGGACCATGATGCTCAGAAACATGCACCTGACTTCACTGAAAGTTAGAGCAAACCCACGGGCACTGCAGCTCTCACTTGAAGTGCAGATAAGAAAAAACATGTCTTGATATCAAGCATGAACTCAAGTTGCTAGAGACATGCTGACTTCCAAGTTGGCCTCCAGACAGTTAGCATCCCCAGTGTCTCTCCCAGACACCAGACCAAGATCACTCATTCTCTCCCCAGCACAGTGGTACCCAAGTGACAAGTCAGCTGCCCTCATGTCAAGCACCCTGGCTGAGCCTAGGCCCTAAGGAGGACAGCTTCCCACTGCCATCCAGCAGGGACTCACAGCACACACCTGCAGCAAGCACCACATGGATAGAAGGATACACATCTAACGCAAATTTCACTTGAAATGGTAAAGCCCAGTTTATAGCTTCTCCTTCAGCACCAGTATCCATTCCTCTGTAGAGAAACAGGGAAAAGACAAAGCAACAATAGTCCTTATAAAAAAAAAATTGTATTCTCATACAAATGTGATGCATTTGCCTATACACTGTTTTTATGCATCAGACAAATAAGCCCACTCACTAGTGGTAGAGGCATCTTGTTAATACACAACAGGAACAGAGATTTCTTTGTTTTTACAGAGCAAAAGAAAGCAGTAGCTCAGTGGCTCACTGCACAAATTAGCATGCATCTACTGAAAAGAATCCTTCCACATTATACCAGACAAGCCCTGGCTTAGGTCCATCACAGTTCTAGTTCACAAGGAACTTTATTTGCTCCTTCACAGTTATCCATTGCCATTCTGAAAACAAAAAGCCGAAGAAATGCACAAAATTACATTCTAGGATTTAAAAACAATGTACTTGTAACTTTAGATTCCTTGTTTCCACATTATCAGTTTTTGTGGAAGAACTGAAGTTCTGTAAGAGGGAGGTGTTTGCTTTGCTGTGAGTAGGGTAGCAAAAAGGTGAATCTATTGCAAGCATTAATTGTTCACATTTCTGTTTTCACAGGCAAACGCCAGTGGTACTTCTTATGACTAAGGCTCACGGGTGCTGCACAGGGTTTTCCTTTTGGTATTACTCAAACATTTCAATTCCTTCCAGCAGGAATGCATCTCCACCTCAACACCGAACAAAATGCGGACTCACGACTCTGTGCGAGGCTGAATGTATCTGGCCCACTGACAATACATGAGGATTATATCATACATGAAACTGCTGCAGTGCAGAGAGGAATAAGCATTAAAGATGCTTGCTTTTTACACCTGTAGAAGATGAATCTTTACATTTTGCTCTCACAGCATAGGACAAGAACACCTCGCAAAGTTGTCAGTGAGGAGATTTATCATAAGGCTCTGAATGCAGCACTGCTGTCTGCTCCATCGGAACATGAGGTGTGGCAGTGACGTTCCTACCCACAGCTTCCATCCCTGCTTCTCAGACTGACAGGCATGACATAAGTCAGTGCTCTAACTCTGTATGACCAGCACTAGGCAATCGCGGCCTCAGCACTGAGACAGGGGCTGCAGTCCCATGACTATTTCTGTGTGACGTCAAGAAAAACAAATGGAAAATGCCTGTTACTAAGTGCTTAGTAAGAGGATGCCCATGGAAAGTAAAACAGCCCAAGCAATATGTCAAAACACACCAAGAAGTGACGAGTCATTTCAGTGCCCCAGACCACATGGTGCCACAGCCATTTGTGCCAACGTGGGCATAACGCATTCCTGTGTCAAATTTATATATGCTTTAAACAGAAATAAATGATTATTCAAAGAAAAGGAAGGGACAGCTGCAACTTGTTCTGACCTAGAACACTACAGCCAAGACCGAGAACTGAAGGAACTGAAGGCCATCTTCAGCACAGCCTAGGAAAAGTAACAGATAATGAGAAGTACAGAGATGAACACATGCAAGACTCTGACAAGCCCTTCAACCTGCGCTACAGCCACATGCAACTTACTGCATACGCAGTGTAAACCAGAAAGGCAGAAGTTACAGACAGCAAGGTGAGCAGCAGCATGAAAGTGAAACGGTGCTTCCTTATCTGTTGGTTGAAATTAGAAGAGATCACGTTGGGGTCTCTTAGGAATCCTCTCCTCAAGCAAGAAGAGCTAGGTAGAAGAGCATTTTGGAAATGATTTGGCACTTTGTGGTTTTTAGAAAGCAGCTCTTTGTACCACACCCCAGTCTAGTTACAAGCCTGTCATTTTAAGGAGATCATGCATGTTAGGCTGTCAGCCCTTGGCAACTTATAAAAAATAAGTATGATAAAACAGAAAGTAAAAAGACATTTATCTCCAATTTCTTCTTGTCTGACTGCTACTCCCTTTCCCTGAAGGGCTGTTTGCACCAATAAAAGAGAATGTTTTGTTCTGGGATTTGTTTCTGAACATGTCCTTTTCTGGAGAATGCAATTCTCTGTAACTCAGAACCAAGAGGTGACACACATAAACCTTCTGGCCATCTTCTGTAGAATAGCTTTGTGCTTAAATGGGCTTTAGTTTGGACGTATCCCCTTTCATTTTCCTTTATAACTGCAAGGCTGCATTTTGGTCTAGCTACAAGACACATTATATGAATGTGTGTTACTGCTGAGCGAAGATTAAACAACTGCTTGCAGATATTAAAGCGAGGGCTTTTCTTTTTTTTCCCATGCTTAACAGGTGGGCTGGACTTTGAGGTGAAGTCCAGAAGTCATGAGCAGAAGTGTTAGAAACACAAGAGCAAAGTTGAGGAAAGAAGCAGGCATTGAGTTTCTCAGTTCCCTCCGTATTGATTGTACTGGCAGATTTGCTCACAGCTATGGAAACCTCACCTTATAGAAGCAATTAAAACCCAGCAGTTAAATTATTAGGTTACCTTACTTTGACAGAGTTTCAAGCTGCAATGTTAGCATAGCACAACGGCTCAGATAATAGTTCCCTGCAAGAGCAGGCACTGCAGTTTCAACAGTGATAGCACTGCAGTCTATGTGTACATGTGAGAGCTTTAAAATACCTAGCTTGGTGCAAGCTACAGCATAGCTGGAAAAAAGGGATTCAGGACGAGCTGATTTACCCTCCATTCTGGGCAGGATTTGTGGATTACTTTTTTGTGCTGCACTGTTGTTCTTGATTTAGGCTACTTGTATCTGGTTCAGACGTGCCTATACCACACTGTACTGTAGTGCAAGTGCACATCTAATAAATCTCCTACAGACCACGTGCCTTGCCTGTCTCCGTTTTTGTGTCTGCTGTTATGGGGATTCTCAAACTAGCCATCATGCTGGGTGTCTGAAGGGGTTAACTCAGGATCTACTCAGAAGCAAAACAACAGCTGGGTCACTTAGGCACCTAAAATGAGCAAAAAGTAAATGACTTAAGACAGTGTTAACATTAGGATGTTCACTCTGCTGCCACTTAAAACCATCATTTCCCTCACACAGCACGGTCTTGGGAACTAATCACATCCCTTTCAAAGAAGGAAACAGAGTGATTTTGACAGAGTTATGAAAAGAGATGAAACCAAGCAAGCAAAAAAAAAAAAAAAAAAAAAAGAAAGAAAAAAATCCCATGATTCAGACTTCATAGAGCTTAAGTGGTTTACTTCAAGTGCGTGCACCAAAAATAAGCTGCATTTGTTTAGACACAGATAAAGCACAATGGTTTGGTCTTTTTTACCCTAGATTGGCTCTGATGGGCTGTGCTTGTGTTAACTTCCAATTGCAGGTAAAACAGAAATTGAAGAAAAGCACCTTACAAAACAAATAAAAAAACCAATAATAAAATCCTACAAAGCAATCCCACCACAAACTGCACCCTGAACCCCATCCACATGGTTTGCCTGCTTTGAAATCAGCGAGTTTTCAGCAAAAAAACTTTCTCTAAAGCAGAACCCAAGTGTTCTAGCTCTTTCAATTCCTTAAGAGATAACAAAAGTTTGGAGGCTTCAGCCGTATCGTTCAGGCAAGCAAATTATGCCAGATATTATTTATCAGAGAAGACACACAAACTCTTTCCTTTTCCAGGTAACCAATAGCTCGGAAGACCAGAAGCCTAAGAATATAGCCACTACTTTTCTGCTGTAGTTTTCAAGCAGTATTTGAAATCCAAGTAAGCATTCTGGAAAACCTAAGCAAATGATCAATGGCAGATGTAGAAGTAGTTGGAGAATAGGCTATCTCAGGTATGGAGGGCAAAAAATGAGCATCATACCATAAGAATTAAAAATGCTCAGCAAGAGAATCAAAGCAGACAGCTTCAAAAAAGAAAGTGCCCAGGAGGCAGGATTGGATCTGTTTCTCCAAACATCACTTCAATTCCATATATGACTGCTGAGTGAAGTCCAGGGGAATTGCTTGCTGATATTAAGCAAGGGAAATGTTCTGCCATCCGTATCCATTAAAAGCCTAGACCAGTTGCATAAACACCAATTTTGACATGCTTGTTTTTCTGGTGAACAGAGACTCTGGGCAAGATGAGAAGCACAGCTTACCAACTTTCACCTTTTTATATTCTTTATGTATTACATTGTGTTTCAGCTACTTTTATCCACTAAACTATTTAATTTCAAATCCATTATTCTTATTTAAAAGAAAAGCAAAGGAGCTTCAATATTGAGTTGGCAAAAAAAGTGTCTCAGAAAAACACAGGACTAAACTTTTGCCACTTAGCTGAGCAGCATCACCACCACAGAGCAGCTTCTCCATTTTTGTCCTTGCGGTGCTCCCTCCAGCCTCCTCTGCAAATCCCAAGTCCATACATATGCTTCCTTTTCGCACCACTTCTTTCCAGCCTTCTCTTGAAGGTAAGCAATATTGGGAAAGAAACGTCAGAGAATTTGTGATGAAATGTGCAAATGGCACCATTTGAGTTACTGTGGTTAGGAAAAACAAATATCTCTGTTACAGAAGGCTCAAAGTGCATTCTAGGGGCACCTCAATGCTTTCACAGAATCACAGAAACACCGAGATTGGAAAAGACCTACAAGATCATCCAGTCCAACCATCCACCTACCACCAACAGTTCTCACTAAATCATGTCCCTCAACACAAAATCCAAACATTCCTTGAATATCTCCAGGGTCGGTGATTCCAGCACCTCCCTGGGCAGCCCATTCCAGTGCCTGACCACTCTTTCAGAGTAGTAGTAGTCCTAACATCCAGCCCAAATCTCCCCTGGTGCAGCTTTAAGCCATTCCCTCTAGTCCTGTCACCAGTTGCATGAGAGAAGAGCTTACTACAACCTCCCTTCAGGTAGCTATAGAGAGCAATAAGGTCTCCCCTGAGCCTCCTCTTTGTTCTTCTCTTTGCTTCCACAAGTGTTACAGACACCTGGATTCTGAACTGGGAACTGCTCCTTAAGTAGAAGGAGCAAGCAGAGCTGGTCTTTGGAAGAAGGCAAGAGTTGAAAAGCATCCTGAAATGAAACTCTCCTGCCTGTAATACTGCAGAGATGTTTTCTAAAAGTTCCGCTGTAGCACCATTTTCTGGACCCTGGCAGAAGAGCCACATCGAAAACAGCATTTATACATCAGGTGCAGGCATCTGAGGATGGAAAATAAAATGTCTTTGGCATAGTGACAGTAAAGACAGCTGATGGGCAGAAGGATCCACAGGCTCCATGCCAGCTCCAGAAGGTCAGAGGATCAGAACAGAGAATGCAAGCTGAGCCCCTAAGACACTCTTTGGCATTGTCTCATCCAATCCACTGCATAACCTCAGGGTGAAGAGGAAACCAGCTGGAGTCAGGACAGGAATATCTGGCACCATTTTGGAAGGACTTTCTCTGCCAGAAATCTGGGGTAACAAAGTATTCTTCAGAACAACAACAAACTATGACAAGAATATTTGACCATATAAACAATCCAAAGCTTTTTTCTCCTGTCTTGAGAGGAAATGGAAACACTGGAAATAGAGCATCTCCGTAATTGGCCTCGCTGCTCTTTCGCGTGTCCACAAAGAAAGCCAACTTCTTCCCTCTTCCTCTGCAACTTATGTAGGTTAATCTCAAGGTAGGATCAGTCATATAGACAATAAGCTGAACTGGAAACCATACTCTTGGTGAAACAGCAAGCTTCAGTTGGCAGCAAAGACGGCCAGACATGATATACATGCACTCTGCACATAGTATAGAAATAAATGAATGCTATACAACGTAGTTGTCACTAACTTGCCATGTGTCTATGTAAGAAGCTTGTTTCACTCTTTATGATGTTGGAAAAGAGAACAACCAGCCAGGAAAGGACAAACGTCAGACAATGCTGAGGTATCTCAGGAAGCTTTTGTTTGTTTTTGGCACCACTTCACAAGTCTCGTGATAACTTAAGATCCCCCGAATAGTAAAGAAAACACCATACAAAATAACCAAGATATCCTTATTCTACACAGCCACTTATTGACAGACCTGTTCAATCATGGGTAAACCAAGACGCCACTTCTCTCGACTGCTGGTTTCTTAAATATACTCAGGGATAGGAGACACAAGTACTAAGATTTTCAAGTGTCAAATCAATTTTGCAGAAATCTTTAACAGATATGGCCCATTCCCAAACCATTTAAACACTTAGATATGCTATCTTACCCTACAAGAGAGCCTCTCCCTTTTTTGTGTGTGTGTGTCAGCATTTTAAAACTCTCCCCAAGGAATTACAACTGGCAGGCCCTACAGAATGCCTACACTGAAATACAGACTTTGCATATGCAAAAAAGGATATCTGTATCTAGATCAGGTTTGTTCCTAGTATCTGCATATGCTGAATAACCGTGGAGGTAAGGCACTACATTTCAGTAACTGCTTAGGAAACAGGGCTGACTTGCAGCACTTTACTGTTCAGAACTGTCTTTACATCGTTGTGCTGAAATATGGTTCCATTAATGTCAGCAGCTCTGATTTTCAACACCTTCTCTGTGAGGCAAGGCGTCCTGCTGAAAGGCTGCTGATTGAGCTAAATGTTTACTTTTCAACATGAAAGGCAGAGCTTTTCACAAATTTTGCAGGAGATCCTTCTAATTAATTAGTTCTCACAACACATTCTTTTCTTTCTTCCCCAGAGCTGAGGTTGTGG